ACTTACACTCCACAATAATCATTATATATAGAAGACTGACTGCAGCCCCCTAAGTTGTAGGGCTGTAACTATTTCGGGACTGACTCTGACCACCTCCCGAGACTAAGTTTCTTCGAGTCTAGCGGGTAATTTCATGGCCTAGCAGAGAGAGCGGAGTAACCCAGGAGGTACTCATCCTATCAAACGTGTTTACTGCAATAATTGTGGTCTAAGGCCACCAATGAATAGCTTCACTACTACACCCACATTAATATATATTTTGCGTTCTTCAGGCCTAAGATCTCGAATGATCTCCAACGATAGATGGAAGTGCTCTTATATGTAGGTATCTATCTCTATCATAATTTCGAAACATAGCATAAAGAACTCCAATGGTGATCCTATACTGAAAGACCAAAATTAGACCGACGACCGGGCTAGAACTGACCTGTCGTTGCTCTCCACATTTGGTGCTAGACACACGGAAGATGAACCGAGTAGTATGTATTATGGGGACGAAGTAGCAATGGCATCTAGTTGGACCAAGCTCACGCTCCCGAACAAGCAGGTGTGGGGATACACAATGTACCTTACTACACGGTAGGCTGAATAAAATTGAACATGAATGAACTACAACCCTTGAATTTTTGGGATCATGTCTAAGACTGGCAACGCGTAGCTAAACGCCAGTTCAAATCTGTCATACACGTTTGAACTTTTTTCTTTTGCTATGACCAGAAGACAATGATTTGTCCCGGCTGACCAGTACGTGACACCACTTCATTGACATAACCTTTAAACATTCTCGAGGACGGTCTCCTTGAACTCCCGCTCAACCTTCTGTCCCTTGTCGTCAGTCGCGGACTCACCGTGCAGAGCCAGGAGAGCACCGAGATCGAACTTGGGGGACTTGAGGAGCTTAACCTTGCGAATGTGGACCTGTAGACAGATGTGTTAGCAATCCGTATATATGTGCAACTTTCCAGTCTCGGAGGGTGAAAAACGAACATTCTGCAGGGGGTAGATGCCCTGGGTGGACTTCTCGATCTCACGTCCAATAACCTCGGGGATGAGCTTGTGGGTGAGCTGAGACAGAGTGCAGGTGGAAGCCTCGCGCTGAATGATCTCGGTCATCTTCTTGCGAATGGCACGGATCTGAGACGAGCGGGCGTAGGTGGTCTTCTTGATCTGGTTGGGGCGTCTCTTGGTGAAGGCAATGGCGAACAGGCGGAGGAGGTAGTCGTCAGTGGTCTTCACGGTGATGTTGGCCTCGATCAGGGACTGCCACTTGCGGACAAGGGAACGGAGCTTGTCGGTGGTGAAGTCGAGACCGTGGAAGTTGGTCAGGCAGTTCTTGCCCTGGATCTCGTCGACGCGGAGCTTGACCTTGCGGAAGGCGTGGTCCTCATCGTTCTGGAGGTCGGCGAGGGAGACCTCGAAGATACGGCCCTTGAGGGAGTCGTTGGCGTTCTTCAGACCGCTGGTGCGGTTGACCAGAGTCTTACCGACACTGATAATTCCGTTAGTCAATCCAACTCAAAATTCGCCATTTTCGATTCGGGTGGGTTGCATACTCGCGGGTCTGGAAGGTGGAAGGAGCCTGTTGAGACGATTAGCATTGCATCTGGGATAGCGAAAGGAATAGAACATACCTTCACAGAGTACTCGTCCTTGCGGGTGAAGGGGTCGACTGTGCGCTTCTTGATACCCTTCTTACCCTTAGATAGGCGCTTGTTCCTGAACGAAGACGATTAGCCGTGTGTTCGTGAATTCAATGGATGTCGTAGATGCGCAAGTAATTCGATAAATTGAAAGCAAGAAAAGGATGAAGAATAGGGCGCTTACTTTCCAACAGCCATGATTGCGAGTTATCTGTGTGTTGTTGGAAGACAGACAAAGGTATCGCACCGCGCGCTCAGAGGGTTTCGACACTCGACTGGGAGGGTTGAAAACCCACAGAAAACTCGGCTAAGCGAGGCGCGGGCCCTAGCTGATTATGTCATCCACTCTGGTCATGTGATCGAACATTAAAAAAAGGTCCACCGGATTATCATTATGTCATCGTCTTATGTCATCACCATACAGCCTTAAGAGTCCACTGTCAGATCGCTTTGCGTTGTATTAAATAGAATGTGGTAGATCGTTGGCTGTTACAATGGGCCCTACGCTATTGGCGCTAAAACTTTCCTTCTGAATGTTGTATACTGACATGTGTATATTTGTGTACTTGCATACTTATCTATTGGATTGGTTCTACACCATTTGTCAAATCAATACTCTTTCCTCGATACTCCGCATTGAATCTCCCAAAGTTTCAAATTAACCTAACATACTCCGTAAACCCTTTCCATATAACATTCTAGAGTATTGTACAATGTAGATCGCTTTGTGGGAATCGTCACCAACTGACATCACATGTCGGAATCTGGAGGCTCATTATTCCGATTCCAAATTAAGCAAGTCGCCTTGGCATCCATGCCCGCGGGCCTACTCCTGCGCGAGTCGACACTCCTCATTGCTTCACCTTTCCTCTCATCCCTTCTTTTATTTCAAATCCTGTGTCGCAGGCCAAATTAAGCATGGTATGTACTCTCACTTTCCCCCTACCCGACTGTCCCGACCACCCCGACCGTGAGGATAGATGTTGACCTCTACAGGGCAAGCGCAAGAAGTCAAGCTCGAAGCCCCAAGGGCCTCGAAAGGTAAATGAATCACAAGGCGCCAAGTTTTTCACTCAGTACTGACCGTGAAAAACAGAGGGAGCCTCTTGCTACCACCTTTTCCTGTCTCTTTTGCAACCATGAGAACTCTGTGATCGTCAAGTTAGACAAGAAACTTGGCTTAGGCGATCTATCCTGCAAAGTCTGTGGCCAGAAGTTCCAAACTGGTATCAATTGTGAGTTGATAAGTACCCTTAGGCATTAAGCCTAATTCTTCTAACTAACATCATCCTTCAAAGATCTCTCCGCCCCCGTGGATGTATATTCGGATTGGGTAGACGCATGTGATGCAGTTGCCAAGGACACGGCCAACCAGTATGACGCACCGAACCCGAGCCAGTTGGGACAGAGAGGAATCAGCAAGCAGGGTATTTCAGATGAGACTGGGCAGGGCGATGGCTATGATGATGACTACTGATCATGGGATGATGGCGAACGGCGCATTAAGGCACGATATCAACAATAATCGAGTTGTGAAATTCTTGTATGTACATGGTATTTGATATTCTTTCTGCATATTCTTGTTGCATATGCTTATCATATATTCCAAACTCCAAGAAGTGTCTCACCCATCTAGACCTCTACCTCACTACCGGGCATCAAGTCAACTCTGAATAGGCGACTTGTATGGCGAAGTGGAAGTGCCTTATGGCATCTGGAACAGACCAAGCAATGGATGGATAACGGAATACTGAATTACTCAGAATTTCCAGGTGACCTTTTGACCGCTGATGTTCCTTTCAACGTGGTAGGAAACAGCTCTTTTACATAGAGTAATATCTGTCGCCGAAATCTCCCAGGCCGGGGATAATATACCTATCAATCAGTCAGCATGGCAATCGCAACATTCAAGGGGTGCGATATTCTCACTTCTTCTCATCCAATCCTTGATCAATGAAAGAGGTCACAACCCGAAGTTTGGGGAATCTCTCCGCAAACTCAGCAACACCAGATGGACTGGCAATAAGGTTGAGGAATAGGATCCGGTGTTCAGGAACGCCTCTCTCGATCAGTGTCTCCACAGCCAGAGTTGCAGAACCACCTGGCGAAATAAAATCAGCTGGTTGACCATGGGCATTGTAGAACAAGCTCAACTTACCAGTTGCAAACATGGGGTCAAGGAGAAGCACCCAACGGTCAGCAATGTCAGTAGGCAGCTTATCGTAAAACAGTTTAGGCATGCAAGTCTCCTCGTCCCGCTGGATGAGAATCTTTCCAATACGAACAGAACGGCAGCAGTCGCGCAGTCCTTGTTCCATAGCCTCACCTGCGCGCATAATAGAGACACCGCAGATCTTTCCTTCGAACTTGACACCAAGGTAGGACCGTCCAACGGGAGTAGTGATGGACTGCTCAACAACGGGGAGATGGTTCAAGCCTTCCTCCACCAGCAGGCGAATGATGCGGTTAGAGTAGAAGATGAAATCGGCACGGCTGGTTCTCTTGTCTCTGATCATCCTGTTTGTGGTACAAAATATGAGCCTTGGGTTACTTTCCATGTAGAGAATGGGTCCTCACGTCAAAAGAGCAATCAACTGGGGTGTTTGAGGTAGCACGTGGACATTGTCGTAGGAGACTTCCTTTGAGACTGTCGCAGTGGGCTTCTCGCCATCGGGCTGATACAGAGGGCCAACACCCTGCGCAGGAGAAGGAGCGCTCTCTGGTTTGCTAGCCATGATTTTGTTGCGTCCAAAGATGTGTCTGTGTGTGGGTCTTATGACTAGAGAAAGAGAGAAAAAGATATGTTAGAATATGAAAGTACCAGAAGTTCACCCGAGACAGTAGTTCGAAGTACCTATAAAGGACAAGAGTCTAGAGAGGGGTATATAAGGACAGTGAGGGACCTTATGTCTCAAAGCCAAAAGCGGGGAAGTATGTAGGTTTTTCCTCTTATCTTTTTTTCTATATCTGGAAGCTATACCGCAGTGGGTGATTCTGCCCCATCTCACCCCCCTCCGCCTCTTATCACTTGCATCATCTCCCCAATCAGACCTCGGATTTTGTCAATTCTTTCATTACGCGATCTTCTCAAAGGAAATTGCCTAGGTAATCTACATATCTCATTGCCAATCACCTAGGGGTCACTCCTTTCATGACTGCGCCACACCCTTTGAGCGTGTGTAAGCTTCATTGAACACCGCAAGGACATGGCTTCGTCTCAAGAAACGACTACGTTTTACTCAAACCATTAATCCAATTGCTCCTCGGCATACCTTGATTGCCTTTCAAGAACCGGATTTCCCAGTCGAATCCAGCAAATAACGCGCGCGCATCTGGTTTCGCCCTCTTTGTGAAACGAAGATGGATAACTCACAACCTCGGAATCGACGACTTGTAACCTATGGCTCTGCTACCAAGAGCCAACCTCCGTTGAACATCGATAAACCTGTGCGCTCACCTGCCGCTAGAACAACTCCTAAAGAAATGCCTTTGCCAAGCTCGTCACGTCTCTCGCGGCCATTCTACACCAGGTTACGGCGCGACAAGAATGAAGATGAACAACCGTCTGGATCAGAGGAAACAACCACGAATCGAGGACTTGCACAACCAAAACCCATCGCAGAATCTAACGTGTATGACTTTCCCTCTTCAGGCGACGAACAGATGTCTATGGTTCAGAGAAAGCGAAGGCGATATAGCCCCAATGGAAACAAGTCCGTTCCTGCGACTAAGCGATCCGTGAAGCCAAGCGAGACAGAGAATGGGGATCGTAAAGTGTCACCACCAATGAGGAAGAGGGTGCCCGTGCCCGACAGAAACAAGGTCGTTTCTGCGACTAGGCGATCCGTGAAGCCAAGCGAGACTGAGAGCGGAGATCGTGACGTGTCATCACAAACGGGGAAGAGAGCGCTCAATGGTCGGGGGTCATTGGCCAAACAGCCAGAAGTCATTCAGCAGCCAAGCCCCGTGAGGTCGGCGCCATATTCAAGGGCTGGGAGGTCTGTGCGGAGTCAGACTAAGGTATCTACTCTCGAGAATGAAATGGGAGTATCAACTGAGGAGAGCCCCGGGGATGCAGAGTCCGTGCGAAAGAGCTCGCCGGACATCAGCCAGGGGTATGCCACTAAAGCGAACATCACCCCTGGTCGTAGGAGACTGATTGACTCGCTCGGGATCACGGAACACCCGGTTGAAACATCTCCAGCGTTTGAAACATCGCCAGAGAGTCCCGCTGGTAGTCAGCCGTCCCCGAATCCAATCCCCCCCGACCGAGCCTCGCCAAGTGCAGCTGTGAATGAATGTCCTACCGAAAGCTACGTTCAAGGCTCCCCTGCCTCAGTTCCATCTAATTTACGAGGATCCCGCGTCACCTATGCACGCCAGCGTTCCTTTTTGGATGACTTAATTATGTCAGAGGATCTTTCGGCGCACGATGCTTCCTCTGGCCCGAAGCACCGCTCTCAATCTGTACAACGTCAGTTGAATTACGAGGCTACTTCCACTGCCCGTTTAATCGTGCCAAATGAGGATACCAATGAGGATGGATCTGTCCGAAGTATTCATGAGCTCAGACAAGCTGGGGGAAACGCTCGTTACCGAGGTGCCGTCGAATCTATTTTTGAGGACATCGAAGATCCGCAAAACTCGTTGTCGGGTCGATGCAATGCTTTCCTCCAACTGTGTGGCAAACTTCTGGATACTGGGCTCAAGCGGCGATTTGTCGAATGCAATTTTGACAAAAGGCTTGTGGATTGTCTTTCTATGGACCTTCAGGTGGTCCCCACTATTCTGGCTTTCTGTGCCTACGCACTGGGATCATCGGATGGACACATGTCTTATGTTCTTGCAACTTCCGCGTGGCCTAAGCTTCTAGAGGCATCACCTGCCTTATTAGGCATGCAAGACGACATAACAGTGGTCGCAAGAGCTCAAACAAGCGGCCTTTCCCGGCCCTTGCAGAAGACGCTTCAAAACACAACTCCACAGATAGCTGCTATGCTATTTCCTGATCCTGCATCCTCGAGACTATCCCCATGTACTCTGGCGTTGTATTGCCTGAAGTCGACGATTTCCACGATGCAAACCAAAGGCGAGAACCCTAGTCTCTCCACATCTCTTCTAAAACAGTTGGTTCAAGTGCTCGTGTCCGAAAGCCAACGTTGTGTTTCACTGGAAAAAATACACCCAGAGAGCTCTCAGATACTATGCATGGGCTTTTCAATCTTGGAAGCTTCTACTGCATTGGCTGAGTCGCTCACAAAAGAGGATTGGGATATCCTAGACCCGCTTTCTGGGCTTCATAGCCTGCTTTGTTCGGAGTCGGGCACTATCAGCCAAATACAACCCCTCTACATTCGACTTATCTTGAATATCACCAACAGCAACCCCTCTCTCTGTGATAGATTCGCAACCCCGGAGATGGTCGGGGGGCTGGTCCATATTGTCTCTGCAAACTTCGGTGATTTGACCGAAGATGCGCTTGGGCAAGCGAACAATTCTTTGGACAGCGTGATATTGGCGCTCGGCGCACTTATCAATCTGACCGAACAGAGTGGAGCATCAAGATCGATTTTTCTTCACTCTGCTGGTACATCAAAGCCTTTGCTTGATCAACTCTTGCATTTGTTTATAACTCATGTTGATTCCATCTCCACGGTATGTTCTCGGTTTTTTTTTTGTTTCCCTTTTCGCCCACGCATTAGACTAACTGGATCTGCTTAGGCTCATTCGGTCTTGGAAGTACACCACAACGTTGCGGTGGGATATTTGGCCGTCCTTTTACTAACACTCAGTTTGGATCTTGAGACCCGGTCCAAAATCAAGAGCTCACTCGCTCCCAACGGATTAACAGCGGTGATATCTACCGTTGATGAATTCCTGCAATACCATCAGAAGATTGAACAAGAAATCTCCACTTTCCCAACTCAGGGACAACCAGCGAGTGGGTTCCTGTCCAGATTACAAGAACTTATCACTCGTATTCGACTGGCAGAGCAATGATAAGCATCCCATGCCATACATGTGTCCCTTGACGGCAGATAAGTGTGCGCTTCGTCTTTTCTACTGGCATTTTTTTTTCTAGATTCGATGACATGAATTTCTTGGTCTGTCGACAGCTTTTGATACCCCTTTTCCCCGTCACTTTTAATTGAACCATTTACGTTAGAATGTTCCACATTCATATCCACCTGGGCGGATGTCCACCACTGATCAAGATCGTCATAGAATAATGACCTCAGGTCAAACCAAAGTTCGAAAAATGAGATTTAATAATTTCTGTAATACAGTGCACCTTATAAAGAATAACAAATCGAGGGTCATAGAGCGTACCTACAGGTAATTATTTATAGAGCGTTCAGCCCTGGAGTTGGAGAAACTGCCGTTTGCATTGTTTGCAGGTTACAAGGAGTTGGAGCTCCGCATGCTTCGAGGGATTTGCCACCCCCCGAAGACCTGGTTTCTGAACAGATACCATTTTGTCTCTGAATATCTCGTTGATCCAGTTTCATCAATCAAAATACAGGGCCTACCTGAATATATCATCATCATTATCTCCTATTCACATTGGTGGTTTAGCTGAGTCTTACCGCACTGCACAAGATGCCTTCCGCGCCTAAGCAGAGGAAGATCGCAATCGTTGGCAGTCGCTCCGTGGGTAAGAGTCCCGTTCATTTCACAAACCACAGTGTTATAATTGCGAAGAACTAACACTTATCTTTGAACAGGTAAATCATCTCTCACGGTTCGCTTTGTTGAGCACCACTTCGTGGAAAGCTACTACCCTACAATTGAGAACACATTCAGTCGGATTATCAAGCACAATGGCCAGGACTATGCAACCGAGATCGTCGACACTGCGGGACAGGTATGTGATTCCTGTGCGAGATTACCGCTAGGTTACTGAGACTATTCTACAGGACGAATATAGTATCTTGAACTCCAAGCATTTCATTGGAATTCATGGATATATCATTGTCTATTCAGTGACATCGCGCCAGTCATTTGACATGGTACGGGTGATTCGCGACAAGATCTTGAACCACCTCGTCAGTTACCGTCCTTCCTATGACTAGTACTCACGAATCAGCATCTAATCTTTCCTATAGGGAGCGGATGATGTACCCCTTGTCATAGTAGGAAACAAGAGTGATCTCAAGCCCGATCACCGCCAAGTCACCCTCGACGATGGACGGCAATTAGCGGAGGAGCTCAACTGTGCTTTCACCGAGGCTAGTGCTTTCCTTGATTTCAATGTCGCGAAAGCCTTTGATCTCATGATAGGAGAGGTTGAGAAGTCTCAAAATCCATCACAACCAACTGGGAACAACAAGTGCGCTTTGATGTAATATGGAACTTCTACTGGAACGCGTGTGTTTCTCCCGCGGGGATGGTAAGCGAAGCCATCTCTGAATATCTGGATCTCCGAGTCAAGAAACATGAAACATCTCTTTCATTGGAGCTGACAACACTATACCTTGCTCTTATGATGTCCACTCAATTCAGATCTACGGATGTGTTGTTTGCTGACTCGAATATTGACTTAGAGATCGTCAACGCCAATTTGGTAACACCAACTTGACGGCTTCTTCTCGGGGCTCTCTTCTTTTTGGCTCTGTTTCTATTGTGTTTTTCTGGTGGAACCATTGGGGTTATTGCATGAATAATGAGTTTTAGGGTCGGATTCGGGAACATGGATCGGTACCATGCATAGAGTAATGAATCTGAATTTTAAACAGGCTTCTAAAAGTATGCGAAGCATTAAATTGGGATCTATAGAAACATCCGTGGCCATAACTCTAGCCTATTTGGAAGTAAGCTGGGGGAGCGCCTTATCGATTAAGTAATGCGACCACTCGAAGCCCAAGTGCGTGTATGCACGCACTTTGATTTTCCTCGTTTTTACCCCTCCACAATTTGAGTCACCCCTCTACCACTTGGATCCCCCTGAACCTTTGAACTCCAATCGTCAATATGCTGGACCTTGCCGACTTTGTGACCGAGCGCGGTGGTGATCTCAAGAAGATCAAGGAGAGCCAGCAGAAGCGATTTGCTCCGGAGGAGACCGTTGATGAAGTTGTCGCGCTCTATGAAGAGGCACGACGCGGTATGGATCTTGTTCTTTTGAGGTTCGCGAAATCTTACTGACAGATATAGCCCGATATGAGGTCACACAGATGGGCTCTCAGATCAATGGAGTCCAGAAGGCAATTGGAATGAAGAAGAAGGTCGGCATTTCCCAGCCAGTCTAGTTGTGTGTGGAGATGCTTATCCGTTCTCAGAACAAGGAAGACGCAACCGAATTGCTCGCACAGAAGGCAGAGCTCGAGACAAAGAAGAAGGAGCTTGAGGAAGCTGCTGTCGCCAAGGAGGTTCAACGCGACCGAAAGATTCGCACAATTGGAAACTACGTCCACGAATCCGTGCCCGTGAGCAACGATGAGGTACGGGTCTTTGAAGTCGCCTGGGGATTAAATGCGCCGTGAGACTAACAAGTTGATCCCTGGCTACAGGCAGACAACCAGCTGATCAAGACATGGACCCCCGAGAACGCCGAAATGCAGAAGCCAGGTTGCCTCTCTCACCACGAAGTGTTGACTCGTCTCGATGGATATGACCCAGAGCGTGGTGTCAAGATTGTTGGCCACCGTGGATACTGCTTGACTGGATACGGTCTTTTCCTCAACTTGGCTCTAGTCAACTATGGTCTGGAGTTCCTCTTCAACAAGGGCTACACCCCCAACCAGCCCCCTCAATTCATGCTCAAGGATCTCATGGCGAAGACTGCGCAGCTCGAGCAATTCGACGAGGAGTTGTATAAGGTTACTGAGAGCGAGGATAAGTCGACCGACAAGTACCTCATTGCTACCTCCGAACAACCATTGTCTGCCCTCCACGACAGCGAATGGCTCCAGGATAAGGATCTTCCCATCAAGTAAGTCTCCCTTGTCACCCAGGACTAAGTTATTTTTGCTGATAAGAGAAATAGGTATGCCGGTTACAGCACATGCTACCGTAAGGAGGCTGGATCTCACGGTAAAGATGCCTGGGGCATCTTCCGTGTTCACCAGTTCGAAAAGGTTAGCATAGATCCTGATGCGCTGGATTCTCGCGTTCTAACTCCATGCAGATTGAGCAGTTTGTTCTCACCAAGCCCGAGGATTCATGGCAAGCCTTTGAGGACATGATCAGCACTTCCGAAGAATTCTACCAGTCCCTAAAACTCCCTTACAACATTGTCGCCATTGTCTCCGGCGCCTTGAACAACGCAGCATCCAAGAAGTACGACTTGGAGGCCTGGTTCCCATTCCAGCAGGAGTACAAGGAGCTTGTCTCTTGCTCCAACTGTACCGACTACCAGTCCCGAGCTCTGGAGATCCGGTACGGCGTGAAGAAGGCCACCGATCTGAAGAAGACTTATGTCCACGCGCTGAACTCCACTCTGTGCGCAACGGAGCGTACCCTCTGCTGTATTCTTGAGAACTACCAGAAAGAAGATGTAAGTGTTGAAAGTTCATCGGTCATTCTAACAGTAGCTAACTATTCTTTAGGGTATCGAGGTCCCCGAGGTTCTACGGAAATACATTCCTGGTGCTCCTGAGTTCCTTCCTTACACTAAGGAGCTTCCCAAGGATAGCACATCCACCAAGGCCAAGGGGAAGGCCCAGAAGGGCGCTGATGATGCCACCAAAAAGATGCAAGGTCTTCAGGTTTAAGGAGATATCCCACGATGTACCTCGAGATACAAATTACAAATCACGATGGTTCAGTTTATGATCTATACATATGTAGGCATATTTACAAAAGATAGTCAGCCACTCATGCGGCCGCTGTCCTTGACGACGTAGGACTTTAATAATCGGATATATTTGGCTCCTGATATATTGAGGATGTTTTATTAAAGGTAACACTCTGATGTGTTGTTGGATGTCCCTTCAAGATGGCTACCTCATTCTTAGTGTTCAAGCTATCTGGAGAAGAATCCCCGTTTGATATGTACATGTAGACATTGTACTCAGTTGGAAGGGACGTTGGAAGGAAGAAACCATGGAAGGCTTTGTTTACTTTCCTAAGAGGGAAGGCACCAGTTCCCTACTCATATAAATATCACCTCCCCTCCCTCTTCTTTCTTTCCTTTCTTTTCTCTTTCTCTCTTCTTCGTTTTTTTTTACTTTTTTCATTTCGAGCACCACCACCAGTCACTCGAAATGTCTAGCAACAGCTGCTACTGCGACGCCCCCCACTCATGGGTTACAGATGTTCAGGATCTGCGGAAGACTGTTCCTCTTTTCGTAATCCTTTACATCCTGTACCTCATGGGTCAGCTTCTGCTTGGTCGGTTGAGACACAAGCAGAAGCTCAAGGAGATTCACGCAGAGTAAGTTTCATTCATCTCCATCCCCTACACTGTGAGAAGCTATGAGGATATTGCTCAGACCTATTGGTACGAGACGAATGCTAATAGCCACCCACTATAGGAACGAGGCTAAATGTATCTGCCGACTCCGAGAGTTTGAGCTTCACGCTCAGATTGCTGAAGTCACAGAGCGAGAAGTCAACTCTCGCGCTGAGCAACTGAGAGTCGAACCGGTTCGCCGAAGAGCGTTACCGGCGAGCTCTCGAGACTGAAGAGCTTCGTCTGTTTTTGAAGGAATGGCTGGCTTCGGCTTGGCCTGTTCTTGAAGGAATGGCTGGCTGTGGAGACAGCTTGGCCTGTTCCTAATAGAATGGCCTATGCCTTGGTGTTGTTTCGGCTGCATTATCTATTCTTGAAGGAGTGGCTAGCTTCGGCTTGGCCTATCCCTAATAGAATAGCCTAGTACGATCGCATGTTTCAGCTGATTCGTCTACTCTTACAGGAACGGCTGGCTGGCTTTAGGGTTGGCCTAGCTTGTTCTTGATGAATTGACGAGTCATTTCCGGCTCTCCCTTGGCCGGGGTCTTCTAGGACGACTGGGGGTGTGAGTCTGTCCTGGAAGATCCAACAGCTACGAGCTTGGACCTCTACGTGGTGCTGTTGACTAGTAGCCCTCCGGTGAAGCCAACGCAAGCTCAAATCACTCCTCTTTTCTGAACATTTTCGCAAGCTCCTGTCTACGTTGACAACTGTTTTAACAAAAGTGAACAGGTGAATTTCAAGGGTTGACACAAGCATGAAACCGGTTGATACATGGGTCTGTTGCTAACAATATCTCTCAACAGTGATTGCACGTTATATTTGCGCACACTTTCTCTCGCTTTGCCTTCGATCTACCTCTACTTACTCCACAGAGATGACCCTCGTTTCAAACACTTGACTACCCGAATTCCTCTTTTCAAACCGAGAACGAGAGTTAACGAGCGCACTGTCTTACTATACACACTTTCGAGACACTCCATGCCGTCGTCGTGAATTGCAGCTTCACCCTACGGGGCAACTACAGGGGGGATGTTGAGCCTTTCTGCCTCAGGCATATAGAACCTTTACTTCCCAGCTGTATTTGGGGGTTTCCCCTCTTTTCTCTCTCTTATATAGAGTTAACAGCTCAGCTTAATGCCTGAGTTTCTTTCCCTTTTGTCTTCTTTACAAAGTCAATAAGCTGGAGGGCATCAGGTGATCAATATAGCCCTAATTCCTCGATCAACGGCTGGGATCAACGGTAGTAGGAGATTCATCAGCCCACAGGGGTATCTAGACACTTTCTCCTACCAATTGAGAATTGAGCATAGTGCATGAAATCATTCCCCGTGTGGATGGTGGCGAATATCAGATACACGTTCTTTATGGGCAGTGGAGTATTTAATCTGACTACGCCAAGCCCTGTATTTGCTCTATTGTAAAGGAATCATACAAGGGTCGGGTAAAGAGCGAGCTTAAACATCGGATCGACAGTGGGTCCTAGTTTTGAGGATCAAAAATTTTGAAACTGATCAAGAGGCCTGAATAGAGGTATGGTTTTGCACTGCTGTGTTACATACGCCATGCAAGTCCTTTCGAGACTCCATATATTCCTCGTCAGCTCCCTCAAATCGACGGAGACCCAAGTGGCTCATCCCAGAATCTTGGGTTCTCGCCCTTCAAATTATTTCAGCTTTCGACTCTGGCTCTGGAAGTTGAGGTAGGAAGACCGATCCAGCTGTCTACCTCTGGCAGGAAGGTTGCCTCAACACCCTCACTGTTTAATGATTTAAAGAATCTCTTGGATGAGTAGGATAATTATGTTGCCCAGTGTGGAGTGTAGGTATTATTGAAGAACGCGAATGAGCAGTTACCTTTTAGGCCTCTATCCACAATATTCACACGTGAAGGATTCTCATCATTTGCCCATCAAAAAGAAGAAAGGAACGGCCGAAGGAGGAAAATAATTTTCACTAGTATATCATATAACGTTAGCATTCTGTTTACCATTCAGTGCAGAGTGCAACCGCTTGAATCTCAGACAAGATATCCTGGTTTAAGGGGGAGAGGGAAAGAAGAGGAAGGCTTACCTTCGCAGGGCCGGAGGGGGAGGGAGAGTCGGTAGGGCCACCCGTTAGTGGCTCGCTCACTGCCTGGTTGGTGGTACCCTGGAGAGCACCCTGGCCGCCACCACGGTCAGGGCCACCAAGGTCACCACCAGCAGTAGTAGTAGCAGCAGCAGAATTCCGCGCAGTAGCGGCGATGGCCTTTATGTGATGCACACGTTAGAAACAATATTCAGAGAGGGGAGACAGTAGGTGTCTAGGTAGTTTCTTACCTTTTCAATGGCCTCGTAGGCAATTGTCCACAGTCTGTTTACCTCTTGATCAGAGGGAGGTGGCGCATTTCCCGCGGCCTCAGTGGCCTATTCTAGATGTTAGTAATGCGCAGTCAACTCTGGGGCTGTTGATGGGTTTCTTACCCGGCGGACCCGTCGCTTCTTCTCTTTGCGGTTTTTCTTCTGGCTCTTGGTGAGTGAAGCCATTGTTTTCTGGTAACTTCCAAGGTTGGGAGAGGAAAAAGAGAAGAAGAGTTTACGAGAGGAGAGAGCCGGTTGACTACTTGGGGAACTGTGTCCTACTAGGAAGACACCTTACCTACTGATCATAGATTCACTTTCGGCTTGATTTCCCTTCAGATCTGAAGCGTTATTCGTCTTGAAATGAGATGTTGACCATCTATTGACTCCCTTGCCCACTCACTTTTTAACTTGTAATTCACTCAGATCTTAAGGATTATTCATCTTCAAGTGAATGTGTCAAACTGCCAAACTCACTGCTAGTAATCTAGTAACTTGGGATTTTCAATGTCATTTCTCGCCAACTAAGGCTGGACAACAACAAAGGTTTCAATTGGTAAGAGAACAGCGCCAACCTCCATGATCTCATGATTATGAGAGTGGGCTAGATCGTTAAAGCACGTTTTAACCTTGTGGCAGCAAAACACTGCCGTAATTATCTTCAATATCCTACAGGTGATAGTGCACACCCGCTATGCTTGTCTATTACTAGTCTAGCTTGTGAATCTCTCGATAATTTATTTGCTAAGGGTTGCGCCGTATTATCTACTAGTGATATGCTGTTATACTAATCTCGTGCCATTAGTTTCACGGTGACAAGAAAAGTTATAATAAGCAAGCAAGTCAGTACATCAAGACTGGAGTTCAAAATTATTGAGCAATCGTAGGACTTAGCTAGCTACAAACCAAAAGCAATCTTCAGCATATAGCACTCGAATCACTTCGAAACTCGTTTCCACTGCCAAGGGGATCCCTTCTTCCAATACCACGCAAGTGATCTCAATGTTGACATCTTTCCCAGCCCAAACATACCCGGCTTAGTGAAATAGGCCTCCGTCATTGCTAAAAGATAGGAGGGATTTTCGCTCCAGAGTCTATCCCCCATATCGCTCATAGCGATTTTCAATCCTCCATCGACCACTAATTAGCCACTATTGACTCGACAGCAAAAGCACCGCTCCGTACAGTGTCCGGTGCCCTTCTCCTTACTAGTCAGGCAGCGCTTTTTGCAACATCCACAGCTTCGACCACAGCAGCCACCCCTGTTCGCACAATCGTGGACAAGCTCCTTTCGGAGATACCAAGCAGGATTCTGTCGGATCTTATCATATGTCTCTTTCAATGGCCTTTGGGGAAGTAGAATCTCCAAATTGTGCAATTCTTTTGTCAGCAACCAAATCATGATTTCAACGCACTCGAGATCTTCTTCATATTTGTCACGCATATTTTTATTACCGTCGGTGGACTTTTCTGATGCTGTCAGGTCCACTTTAATATGTTCCTCCCATTGTCTGGCTGCCCGTAAGAAATAATCCATCATTATAATAAACCCAAAGGTTTCCGAAGGTATTTGAAGACCCCTGCCATACTCAAAGAGGCGTCTGTCCTTCCGTTGGTAGTCTCGAACGGGTTTGAAGTTTTTAAAGGAATCGAACATTTGCAACGGATCTAATCCCAGCAACGGGACTTCCAGTAAAGAACGGTCCTTGGGCGCCATGTTCTAAACTCATGTTAGTATAATTTGCACGCGGCTAAGGGCGTAGCGTGTGAATAGGGGGACATACTCACGAAAATTAGATTCGAGTAGTTGTAGAGTAGTTGCAGAGCTGTTCTGAGTTGTAGCGGAAGTTGGTTTATAAACTGGTGAGCTTGGCGGAAAACAAAATTACCTTCTTATTCCGCCGCCAGAAAGGGCTCTTGAGTTTGTTTTGATAGGATAAGCTTAGCCCGAGTATGTAATTGAACCGCTCCGCTTCCTTATAGGAAATGCTGTGAACCTAAAATTTACACTGAAATCCGGCTAATATTCGATGTTGCATTGTTTCTCCAACGAGGTGTCAGCTTTAAGGGTACGATACACTCAAGTCTAGTCGATTAATTTCAACATGCCAGTCATAATAATGCCAAGCTGCGCTAAGCTACTTGGTCCCCTTAAACAAATTCGAATTTCGTCTACATAAATTACGGTGCATTTTTGAAGAATGTGTTCGATCTCAAATTTAGTCTTGTAAAGCTGCTCGGATATTGTCATGATAGTAGGAAGAGGATCAATAGTCGGGTACTCACTCTCTCCTCCTGTGATTGAACTCGACCTCTTCTGTATCCTAGTCTGAATAGTATTGCCCTCCCAAAGTAGGGTCGAAGAGTCGTTGCGCATTGCCTTTGTTCAGCTCCCATAACTCTTTCTCCGTTGCAGAAATCGCACTGTCTTTCTCGACACATTTGTTCAAGCTGGCTAGGGAATCTTTTGGGTCATTCCTCGTCCCGAGTTCCATTAGTTGGACATCCCTGATACCGTCAGCGGAGATTCCGCAGAGACTGAACAACGCGTCTGAATCATGCCGAACATCAAAAAAGACTTTCAAAAAGACTGGAGATTCGAGTATGGATTTGAGAGACTTCTTGTCGCTATTGACTGTGGAAAACGCTTCATGTCCTAGTCTGTATACATCGATGAGATATACACTCTTCCTTGAGGGCACATAGAGCGACATGATAAAAATTGAACCATGTCGGCCAAGTTGTATCCCTTTTAGGTTGATGAAAAACGATGGAGCGTCGGTTCAAATCCCAATGACCGCCGTGTCTATGACCGACTGAAGGAGAGACACGGAGTCTACAACAATGATTTCCATTCCAGCTGATTTGATGGACCTCGTGTATTCCACACTAAAGAGCTTGAACTTATGTTGCGGAAACTTCTGGTATGTCTTGGAGCAAGGAGAGAGAGAGAGAGAGAGAGAAGAAAGGTTGACTCTCTACACACAAACAAAGAGCTACCTAAATAACCAGAGGAGGTCTAGAAAACCAGGCAAGCAAGGCAAACAAGGCCGATGATCATCTCAACAAAAAGAGCAGAAGGAGGGGTGAACATTCATCTTTCAAACATTCATCTTTCAAACATTCATCTTTCAAACATTCATCTTTCACCCTAAGCAGCTCATTCCTTCAAAATACTATAGGCTGTGCATTAACTCCTATTTTGTCCGCCTCCATTCCACAAGTCGTTCAACGCAGGTAAAGTTTGAGCCCAGAAGGATGTTGAATTCGTCCTGCGACCCTTGCTGTCCCGGTTTGAGTATCGGCTTTGTGGGCCATGCCTTAACTACCGTGTTGAGACCCTTCATTGCGATCTGCAAATCGGCAGATATTCGGTCAAATCGAAACACTCTGGTGTACCTAACCAAAAAATCGAAAGTCAGCTAATATCTTGAGGGCATTTGAATTATCACTTACCTCTCAAAAAATTTCTGTCTATCAAGTACAGTTGTTCTCGCATCCCAGAATTTCAAACTGTTGGCGCTCTCCGGTCGTAGCAAGGAGAATATGTCAAGAGGTAGAAATCCCGTGAGTAAATCTATGTTCGGCGTTTGGTCTTCGGTATCGCCTCCACTGACCATTTCCATTACTGCATTCAGATACGCCGAGATGATGGTGGCATGAGTATTATCGTGTGGAGATTGCAGCAAAGGGGACAATAAGCGCAAGGTTTCTCGTGTACCCAGATACCCAGCATCGGTAATATTTGATACCTAACTGCCATTAGGTATCTGCCCGCATGTTTCAGATCACGTACCTCAATTCTGGTATATTTGTTCTCCTGGAGGGTTTCAGGAAGCTGGATCGCGTCCATATTGAGCAGTTCAAAGTTTATCTCTATCCTTGCTAGGTGATCTAGGAACTTCTGGAAGACACGCTGAAGGTAAATGTAGAGTTTACCGTATAGGTCCTCCTTCGCCATTGTCCGCACTCGGACAACTTCTCGTATCGGCCACCCATCTAAAGGTTCGGCTTTGTCATCCATTGGCCAGACAAATGGAGGCAAGTAGAAAGTACTGGCATATCGCCACGAGTATAAGCCAATTATTCGGGAGTATATGATCCTGATACTTACGGATTTGGGTGGTCGAAACCGGTCCTATCATGTCCAAATGGAAGGAGAAGTCCATCTTCCCGAAACTTCTGCTTTAATACACGTATAGATGGTGTCGCGTCTTTGAAATACCATCGATCTCGGAAGTCTCGCCTCTCCGGGGCCAGTGTTGTGGCCGTCCGGATATGGAAAGCTTTCTGCTGTGTCAGATCTGAAGGAACTTCGCAGAGCGCCTCCAGTCGGTACCATTCCTCTTTCTTAAGAGCAAGACGCAGGCTTCTGTTATGAGAAAAATTCCAGGTCCTCTCCACAATCTCCCCGGTGGCTTTGGTAGATATTTGTCCACAAACTTCAGTAAATAGAGGTTTCACACGCGATGCTAACTGGGTAATAATATCCTCCGGTAAGGAAGCAGAGTACCAGAGGTGAATCAAAGACTCGGCATTGGTAAAACCACCGGGAGATATCGAAGTTATCTCCAGTGCTGTAAGGCAAAAAAGGAGCATTATTGTGTTCCTTGCAACGATGTGAAAATCCCGGTCGTTAAGAGTCACATCAATTCGTTGCGCGAAGGCCTGAGGAATCTCGGAGATGGTTTTGACCACATTGCGTAAATCACCAGATGCTTGATATTGTGAGCTACAATTCCCTATGTTGACACGAAAGAAGGATAACCAACCAGCAAATAGTATCGTGACATCACGAGAGAAGTCATTGCCTTCATTCTGGGCCAAATTTAGAACATCAATTGCCGGAACATTGCCCCAGAGATATACCCCTTTCCCAAACGGATTATGAAGGTTACCTGCAAGTTGTGGGCTTGCAAATGCTGGCGTCCGGTTTTCTCTTTCCCAACATGGGCTCCAATCATGCTTCATCAACGTCGATTTGCAGATTCTTTTATGCTCTGACCAGTGCGCTATCTGGCAAGGTTTATCACAGTACTATCACATATGTTAGTCATTCAAAATACTAATCATTTCAAACTTACCGAAACCAGCTTGCAGTTACTGCACGAGTATCTGCTATCTTTGTTGCAACCTGGCTCCGCACATGAGAATAAGGTGATTGCAGCCATTTCGCCCTCATCAGTAGGATTGTTAGTGAATATCTTACTATTCTTCTCGAAAGTCGTTGGCATAAGTCCGATAAATTACCCCGCTAACCAGGGGTTCAAGACAATCAATCACTTTGTGCCACGACTCTCATACCCCTCACTGTATCACAGGTACGTCTAATGGTTTTTGTTTTCTATACTCTAGCGAGTTAGAGCTTCAGAATTCCATTCCTGAATTGAGATGTCATACTGTTGTTACGTCTCTCAAGGGACTTTTCAACTTGCAGTGGGTTGCGAAACAGCCTACCCAGCAACTGTGTAGATTGCGTGTCTCAACCACGAGTTTGCTCCTCCTACTATTGGCAATAATGATGGGCTTCAAACGTTTTAGGTTATACGTATCTCACAAATAAGCAAATACAATGGGTATAGAGCATTTGCCCCTCTGCTCTATAGGATCCTTTTACGTTGACTAGTTGATATTGCTCAAAGCTCCCTCAAAGCCCCAAACTCCACCTCGCTCAAATTTGAAGCTCATATGGTAGTTGCTCTAGATGGAGAATGCTCCATCCCGAACTAATCTGAATTTACACTAACTGGCCAAACTATGCCCTGAGGTCCCTGTATCCGTTTGTTGATCTCCCGAGCCTTAACAAGCGTGGAAACCGTATATATCACTTAAATTCCGGGCCTCCGAGGATACCATGTCTGCTTTAGGCTTCATAAGCCTTTATTCTGTGCAAAAGGCAAACAATCCCGAATTATTTATGTGTTGGCTACATTTGGCACATTAGTTATAGACCAAACAGGAGTACCATCCTAGAAATATCTTCCAATATATGGATATTTGGCAGCATCAAAACCCCGCCTAATAAAGATCGACGACCACGAAGCATCTCTCCAGTCATGTTAGAACCCTCTCCTGTCATTCGTTTCAAGTAACCGCCTAGCAGTGGAAATAGGTCATGTTTACCTCCGTCAGGAAGAATGAAATTCTTACGGCCTAGTACAATGCCTGCCTGCAGCCTGCGCCGAGTATCAGCTCATGCTAGTTATGCAACACCACCCAATATGAGTCTACCCAATCTAACAATCTTGAACAGCCATTACTCTCCCCCCCCCCCCCTCTTCTTAATTTAAGGANTCCCCATTTTGATACTTATTTTTTATCTTCCATTTCTCGCCCCTCAAAAACCCTACCTTCAAATCCCATTTATATAATCCCCATCCAACATTACACAATGGTCCGTTTCTCCACCTCGCACAAACCTCTGTTTCAATTCAGTAGGCTAACAAACCCTCCAGAACCATACTCTTAAAGTTGGACCCTGCCACGTCCATAACAGAATGCGATTGAAGAAGCCACATCTTAAAGACAACCTCCCAACCCAGCTATGCCTTCTATGTGATCGGGCTTTCTGCGTCGACCATAAGGGGAATGAGGACGGTGTCTGTGAGATCAATCATGAGACATACTATCGTAAGCATCCGCACGCCCAGGGGTCCTTGTATCGGACGTATGAAGACTGGAAGAAAGATTATGAGCAGCTCATGATTGATGAGATGTCGGGGAATGAGGGAGAGGTGGCGGGGGGGG